CATTTCCTGTAAGTACGTGGACACCTTATTGCTTCCACTTAGCTCCCTCACAAGGAGCCATGGGAGAGGTGCTTGTGGATTCTTTTATTTTTTTTCTTCAGATCTTACACCTAAGGAAAGAAGAAGCATGTCCACTAGTGTTAGAGGGAACTGGGGAAGACAAAGGATTTTTCCATTTGTACAAGCCCTAAAAATGAGTCAAATTCAGAATTGTCCTTTCTTGGCTTCTTTGTGTTGGAAAGACAAATTTAGTGGAGTAACCAATACTGTGAATAGTCTGATTTTTATTTATTTCACACAGAATGTTTAATTTGTTAGGAATTGGGGCTCGACAACTGGCTTTACAGAGATCTGGATTTAAATTCTGGCTGTACCGAAACCTCAGTATATTGCCTAAGCTCTTTAATGGAAACCGTACTATCTCATTTCAACAATTACGCAATAAGGCAGTAACTGGGTTATGTTGTAAGGATTAAAAGATAACATACATAGAGAACATGGAAAATGTTATTAATAATACAAATAGTGATTATGTTAATCTTCTTTCTCTCTGAAGTAGCTAAACAGAAATATAGACCAGATACAAATACAGTCTGCACCAGTCTCCCTTCTTTCATTTTTTAAAAATACAGACTGTATTAGTCAGGATGGGCTAAGTTATGCTCCAATAACAAATATCCCCAAATCTCTACACCGTAGGACCGCAGAGGCTTACTTGTGGATCACACAAGTTTCTCAGTGGGCTCAGACAGCTGTCTCATGTGTTGAACCCTCACTTCAGACTTTTGAGCTTTTACCACCACAGGAACATATGCTCTCCAGTTGTTGCAGCAGAGAGGCAAAAACTTGGCAAGTCACAACATGACTTTTTAGTGTTTCTGTCCTAAAAGTGACTCATATCCCTTTCAATCCCATGTGGTTGGGTAAAGCCTGTTCTACCTTACTCCAAAGCAGTTGGGACACAGTCCCAGTCCTGTGTCTAAAAGGAAAGGATGGGAAATGTTGACAAGAAGCTTTCTGATGTTGACCACATAGACATGTATCTTGTTTTCACTCTTTTTGCCAGTTGCTTTTGCAAACACATCTTCACCCTTTATAGCCAGGGTCCTGAAAACCCACAACCCAGACTCTGGTTCTGCCAATATTGCAGATGATCTTTGGGAATCATTGAACTGGCTCTGGCTTACCCAAGGTCATGGAAGCAATTCCTGGGAGCTTAAAATGAGCCATACCTCCTGGAATAGAGCCCCTTACCTCCACTATTTCCCCTCACCCCAATAATATTGAATGGTTGTGCTAAAATTAAGAGCTCCTCCAGTTGGGAACCCTCTGGGAACTCCCTTCCTTTTCAGAGTGTGGAAAGTGAGGCATAGGCAGAAATAAATAAAAAAAAATCTTTATTACTCCTCTTATAAACAATGATAAATAAAGTTTTTGATTTCCATGCTTCTAGACCATAAACAGAAGGTTAAACAGTCTAGCAGAGGATTTCTGAAGACCAACATTCTATACAGATGTGTTTGCTTTCTTACTCTTTGATGATGCTTATAATTGTCCAGAGTTCCTAAGGGGAGCTGAACTGCAGATTCTGCTTCCCAAGTCCTGAGCCTCTGGGTCTTAACAGAGGTCTCTGTCCCTGTCTTCTGCCAGGTGATCATTAATATTCAGTGTGAGCATTAATATTCAGAACTCTACGCAAAGTAGGTTGGACATCCAGAAAGACACCCGCTCAAGCACACTTCAACAAACTGGGCACAAGATGCCTTGCATCTCCTATGGAAGGTGTGATGGTTCCCCTCCTCCAGAGGTCCCGTGGGGTGTTGTCAGCCTCAGATTTGGGGAACTATACCAGATTCTTGCCAGGAAGCCACTCTCCATCTGCCTTTTCTTTGTTGTTTGTTTCCAAATAAACTCTGTGTTGTTGGAATAACCAGTTGCTTTGTCAGAGGGCATGATCAGTGTCTTAGACCCAAGGGAAGGGAGGCCTGTTATTGTCCTTCCTAGTGTTTGAGGCCCCTCATGTAGATCATGTCTAGAGAGACAGTTTCTCTCTCGGACCCCAGCACATCATTGGTTAAGGCCAGGGAGCTTCATTCGTCTCTGATAGGCATTACTGGCCTCGACATGTCTGTCCGCTTTCAGTAGAAGGGATGTTACGCCTACTCTTGGCCTTCCAGTGTCTCCATGACGTTGGGATTTTCTTCCCCAGATTCAGAAGACATCGGGTATCTTTGGGGTCTTGGGTTTGGATTTGATAAGTTGGAGGGGTAAAGGTAGCTTCTTGATGCCACCTGCTACTGGCACTGACAGCTGAGGCTGCCGAGTAGAGAGAACTGAAGCACCAGAGCAGGTCTGTTCAATTGTGCGCAAATGCTATATTTTCCCGTGAAATCTCAATAGCTCCCTTAGGACGTTGCCGTTGAGGTTTTGAGCCACCTGCCTCTGATATTTACTTGTTGGGGATTTTACTCTTGAGAAATCACTGTGGCAACAGAACCAGTTTGCCTCCATGAAGACGATGTCTAAGTCTTAAAATCCAGGATGTTTTAAGGCAGGATTCCAACCTCATTACTGCCAGGAATAAGATTCAGCCAAGGTGGAAGTGTCCTCTCTTAGAACTCAAATCTGTCTCAAAATGGCTTTCTTTCTCCTTTGTTTTTGAAGCTAAGCAATTACTTTTTTTAAAAAAAAAAAAAGAAAAAAAATTGCGCTAATGCACAAAACTCTCTTTCCCCTTTCATTTATTTAGAATTGAACTTAACAAAGTCAGTTCTGAGCAAGCACTATATATGAGTAATGCTTTTTGTCCATAAAAGAGCATTGACTCAAATGGTATGGGAGTGCTGATTCTCTCTGCTTTGTGTGAGCGTCCGTAATGACAAAGTGCTCATGTCACAGTGTATAATGAAACTATAAATTGTTTTCATGAATGCTCTGAATTTGGTCTTTTACGGGGCAAATTCAAAAGGTATTTAGTGCCACATTTCACATATGTGAATAACACCAGACTGTGCAGTATATACAATCAAAGTGAAGAGCCTCACTTCTGTTCACCAGGTCCATGGGGTGGGTGATCGTCGGGGGAGAGCTCCAGATGGCGGAGGGGGAAGGAGGTACAAGAATATTCTGCTACTCTGCTATTTGGGGGTGCTTAAATTGGAGGAGGAAAAGCCCAATAGACTGTGATGGAGGGAGGATAATGGGAGCCTTGGTGGTATGTGAGGTGTGGTAATAGACATCTGAAGAGAGTAAGGACCTATAACCCTCTAGCATGTACAGTGTATAAACCAATACCAAGGTTACCTGAATTAAAAATAAATCAATCAAAACAAACTGTGGGTCAATGAGAGAAGTCAGATGGAGAAAGTCAAATGCCATATGATTTCACTCATATGTACGAAGTAGATAAAACAAAAGTTCCTTTTTTAAAAAAAAAAAGATTTATTTGTGCATACAGAACTGGGGTACAGGCCAGTGGTGCAGGGGGGTGAGAGGATTCACCAGAGACAAAGTGGGGACCAGAACAGACAGATTGACGAAGTACACTGCTGAGGGGAGCAGGGGGAGACAGGAGAGGTCTGCCATGCCATGTGGGTCAACTCCTTGACCAGGGATTGAACTTGTGCTGAGGTGGCTGTGGCTAGCTTCCTAGCTTCGTAGTGTTGTGCTTTAACCTGTTGTGCCACAAGGAAGATCACCAAAACAAAAATTCTTTTTTTTTTGTTTGCATTTTATTTCCCCTGATCCCTTACTTTCTTGCAATTAGTGAAACCATCTGGTATTTTTCTTTTTCTTCCTGGCTTATTCAGTAAGCATGATCCCTTCCAGCTGCATCCATGTTGCTGCATGAGATTGTCTTTTTTGATTGCTGAGTAATATTCCATTGTGTATATGTACCACATCTTTTTAATCCGGTAATCTACTTTTGGGCATTTGGGTTGATTCCACATCTTTCCTATTGTAAATAGAGCAGCAATAAACATGGGGGTGCTGGTGTCTTTTTGAATCAGTGTTTTCCAAAACAAAAATTCTTAATTAGCAAAATAGATGGGTACATTATAGGGAAGGGGCTTGGGTGCGATGATAGAGGGGGTCAGCATGATGGTGGAGGTCAGGGGTGATGACAGGATAGTTTGTACAGATGTTGAACTGTAGTGCTGGATGCCAGAAGCCTATATAAGGTCGTAAGCCAAAGTTACCACAATAAAAGTTTCTTTTAAAAAGAGTATAATGAAAACCCTTAGTTCACAGAACTGGGTGTTGGGTGGTGCGTGCCTGCATCGATATCACAGAAGAAGTTGTACATATTTAGGCCCAACTAGTGAACAAAAATTCTCAAGTGAGGAAACATCTGCTGTGTTGCACCGGCAGGTGCGATCTATTGCAGTGATTTATGGTTCAATTAAATTATCTTTAATAACATTTTGTGTATTTTTTTATTAAAGCCATGTGGGTTTATTCCACAAACCACACAGGATAAAAAATCTAAAAACATGCAAATAATTTTGCTACCAAAAATAGTTGGTGGTATTCATAGAAAATTAGAGTATCTTTGTATATCCTTTTATAAAATTTTAGCAAAATGTTACTGAAGCTTAGCTGGATGTATAAATCTGAGCACTTTTCAAACAAAAGCAAGGTCCAGCTATGTGTCTATGTACATTTTTTAAAAGTATTCTTTTTCACTCGTTCATCATATCATTATCTGCCCCAGTTTCCCCAAGTTCATAAACATCCAGGATTTTGCTTCTGTCAATGGGGGAAGAGATCTACTACCATTCATTTATGTGGAAAACATTCTCAGTGTTCTCACACCTAGAAAAACAGCCCACCACGGCATGCCAAATAGGAGCCTTTGACGTTGATTTAGCAGGCGAAACCTGTGCATATGTGATCTCTAAAGTATAAACACGCAGCTAAGCCAAGCCCGTGCTGCTGGGCGCATCGAACGCGGACGCTTGACGAGTTTGACGGGTAGCTTGGGCCCGTTTGTTTTGCAGTACCTGGTGTGCAAAAGGAAGCTGGAGAGTAAAAAGGAAGCCTTGCTGATCCTTTCCAAGGAACTGGACACATGCCAACAGGAAAGGGACCAGTACAAGCTCATGGCCAATCAGCTGCGAGAGCGCCACCAGTCCCTGAAGAAGAAGTACCGAGAGCTGATCGTA